TAAAATAAAGAGTCTTCTAATTTATTAAGTTTAACCTTATTATCTACTATAAATACCTATTTAAGTTCTAAATAGTTAATAAGATTAAGTTTAATATTATTAAAAAACCTATAAAGAAAATATATATAATTTTATATAGTTATTAAGACTATAGTAAAAATATACTACTTACCTAATTACTAACTATTTAAAAAATAAGCTAATACCTAATCCTAGGCTTTATATTAACCTAAATCTAATAAGGTTAGCTATTATAGCTTTAAGATATTACTTAGGCCTATATATAGGCTAGAACCCGCCTTTAATAGTATATTTTTACCTAGATTCCCCTAGAACTCTACTATCTTTACCTTAAAAGCATTATTATTAAGGTTATCTTACTACTATATAGTATCCCTAAGTCTAGTACTTACTAGTAGGTAATATACTTTACCTACTACCTTAAGAAGCTTAGAATAGTACTATCTACTTATAACTAATATCTTTTACTAGCTCTAGGCCTTAATCTAAGTATTATTAGTATATAAACTAATAATATAATTAGCCTTAGTATTACTATTTTTAATAAATAAGAAGCTAATACCTTTATTACTATTAGATTCTAGGCTAAGCTAAAAAAGATATTTATAGTAAAGAACCTACTAATATTTAATAAATACTATATCTCTTTAAGTACTAATAGTGTTATTCTAATAGTTTTAAAAGAATAATTAAAAAAGCTTTAGTTACTAATAGACTTAAAAAGGTATATTAAATAGTAAGCCTAAGGTATATACCTAGCCTCTATATACTAACTAGAAGCTATATTTAACCTATTTATTATTATATAATTTAAAAAGCCTAAAAAAGATAATTTTAAATACCTAAATACCTATATTTAATAGTAAATTAAGAATACTACCTAAGGCCTTTAGTACTTACTAATCTAGTTAAGAATAGTTAAGCTATTTATTTTTATTAATAGTTCCTTTATTAATAATAAAGATTTAAGTTCTTAGTTAGAATATATAATTATTTTAAGTAATAAGGAACTAGTTAATTATATTAAAATTACTATTTAAGGTAATATTATTACCTAAAGCTTAATAAAAAGTAAGTATATTATTTAAAGTATACTAGTATTAAAGCTATATAGTATAGTTCTAGGTATTAATATAGACTATACTTTTTCTACTACCTTAAATAGGATTATAGAGTTAATAGGCTTAGTAGTAGTTCTAATAGTGGTTTATATAGATTTATTTTTATTATATAAATACCTAATAAAGCTTAAAACTACTAAAAAGAAGTATTTAATAATTAATATTATAATACTATACTAGTCCTATAAGCACTATAAGCTTACTAAGGTCTATTAAATTAATAGTAATAATAACCCTATAGATATACTAATAAAGGCTACCCTAAATAAGGCACTATAGAAGCTAGTTAATAATAACTAGTTAATACTATATATCTAGGGCTAAGTTAGCTATACTATAAAAGCTATAAAGAGGCCTAGAGGCTATATAACTTAGTTAAAAGAAAAAACTATTAGTATTATACTAGTAGGTATTATAGTAAATATAGTTAGCTAAGTATAGTAAATATTTAGTAAGATATACTATATATAAAGGTATATAGTAAATAGATTTATACTATATATAGTTATATATAATAGCTAATTATACTATATAGTATATATATATAATAGTTATACTATATAATAGTATATAAAGAAGTCTTAGTATCTATAGCCTTAATATAGGGTACTATAGGGGCTATTATAGTAGGTAACTAAGCTAATAAAGCTAGATTACTATAAAGGCGTTATTACCTTCTATAGGTAAGTAAAGTAACTACCTATAAGCTATTAACTACTAATACGTATAACTACTAATTATCCCTTTATTCCTATAATTTCCTAGTAGTACCTAAGGCACTACCTATTTATATATTTAACTATAGCCTCTCCCTTCTATAGTTTATTTTATTAATTAATTAAGAATCATTATTATATAACTATTCCTATAGAGTACCTCTATAGGCACTCTATACCTATAATCTTATAACTATTACCTGCTTAGGATAGCGATCCTAACATCTACCTATCTACTTATAATACTAATAAATAGTTTTCTAACCTAATTACTTTTAAAATATTTTACTTTTAAAAAAGATAGTAATTAAGTATTTATTATTACTATATAAAGAATATCTCTTATTTTTCTAGTATACTCTCTAATATATAGATCCTATTCTACTAAATAATATATTAGAATAGAATTAGCCTAGACTACTCTTATAGTATTAATATTACTACTCTTATTTATAATATAGCTAAAACCTTAATACTATAAAATAAAGTAAAAAATATATAATAACTATACTAATAACTTATTCCTTAATTATATATACTATTCTTACTATTATATACTATTCTTAACTTAGCTAATAATATATATTATAAATATAAGGTAAAAAGGTTTATAAGCCTAGTAATATTATTATATAACTATTTAGAGTAGGTATTTAGAACTAAATCTAAAAGTATAATAAAGATATAAGAATTATCTAGACCTTAAAAAGTTAATATTATATTAGCTTAAATTTACTAATAAAAAAAGGGGAAATAAGGATATTTAAAAAATAAAGCCTTTATTACCCCCTTAGAAAAGAATATTACCTTTTTAGTATTTAGTTTCTTTATTACCTTTAATATAATATTATTAGTATATTAATTCTAGCTAAATACTTTAAAGAATAGATATATTAAAAGTTTAATAAGTTTATAAATAAATATACTAAATAGTATTACCTATTAATACTATATATAAGCTTATAAGCTTTAAAGTAGTATTAGGTTTAAAATATAGCTATTATATAGGGGTAGATTTTTCTATATAAGATATATTATATATCTTTATTTTTATAGTTATTATTTTATTCTATTTTAGAATATATATTATATAATTACCTTTATTATTATATATACTTAGTAAACCTAGAATACTATCTTTATTATATAATAACTCTTATTTATAAATAACTTTAATATAAATATTTATACTAGTTTATAAATAACTTTAATATAAATACCTAGGCTAGTTTATAAATAACTTTAATATAAACGCCTAAGCTAGTCTATAAATAACTTTAATATAAATACTTAGGCTAATATAAAGGCCTAGGCTTA